AAGCACTCGCCGCCCAGACCCTGTCCCTGAAGCAGAGCAGGATGGTCTCCTGCACCCCAGACACATGCAGGTCCATGTTCATCTCCAGCACTTATGGTAACCTCCCTGGATCTCCCTGCAGAATGATGCCCACTGGCAGCACCTCCACACAGGAACAGTCCACAGTGCCTTGGGTGATCTCACTTCTCCAGCCAGGTGCTGATGTCACTGAGACACAAACAGAAGGAGGGTGCTTTATCTAAAAGCTTTGTAGGCACTTTCAGGTGAAAGATCAATCCACCTGACAGTGCCTATTGTATTAATTGCTGCAAACATGAGGAGACCTGTTCCTCAATCCAACCCTTAAAATGAAGCCTTAAATATTTACAGTGCAACTCTAATCAAAAGTGTTTTTTGTTTTGGATAGAGTAGGGAATGGTTTAAAACATTACTATGAGAACAGGTGTGTTCATTTAAATATTTCCATCCAATTTCTGTTGTGGTAATAACTACAGCATTTAACATTCCCCACCACTTTCTATTCCAGTAACAACAGTAACCCAAACAAAAGGAGACGTTAAATCACTCCAGCATGGACACAGCAGTAAAAACCTGTCAGGGTTTCTAATCCTTCTCCACTCTACTCAAAGTCAGACAAAAAGCTTTGGCTAGAGACACACTTTAAATAATAAGTGCGCTTTTATTGCATTATAGCCTTTTAAACATCTTTGTGACAGTAACAGGACTGTATAAGTACAAATGTAAAATGCCCTTTAATGTGAAAATGTTAATTACCTTGCACCAGAGAACTATGTGTTGTAAATTATGATTGAAATAGATATACTTTATTTGGGGTATATGTGGATGAATACAGCACCATTTTAATCACTACACTAAGAATTAGCAAATGGATGTATTCCTAGTTCTCACACTGTTAATCAGAAAAAGTCTTCATAAAGTTATTGCTAACTGATGCATACTAATGCTGCTAAATTGGGTCTGGGTGTCCAAGCTTCACAAAAAACTCTGGTCACAAAATGGTTAACCTATCTTCTCCAAGCAAACTTAACAATTAACAGTACTTGCCTACAACACCACTTTTGTAACTGGCCTGACACTTTCTATTCCTTTACCTTCTTCTAACTACATGTCCTCTAATTTCTAGTCAGGATGTGGACTTGCCGGTCTAATGTTGCCAACTAAAGACTGACCTTCTCAAAAATGCTCATTCTTGACGGTTGCAGACTAAGCGGGTATCCCTGCAGTGTACAGTTACCAATGCGGGACTCTGTTACTGGAGATCAAAGGGAGATCGGTACACGATCTCCCTTTGATCTTCTCTCCTGTCCCCGAATGCAGGAAGTGATGTATGTTACATCAGTTCCTGCATTCAGTGTCACTCTCCAGCAACAGATGCCGGTGACAAGCTGGTGAAGCAGATTTCTGCTTCATCAGCTTCTCTGGGGGTCCCTAGGTGACATTAGGGGTCTTGGATGAGATACTGATGATGTAACGTATCACTGAGGGCCAAGATTAATTACCTGACAGGATCACAGATGCAGAGTCTAGAGCCAGATTATTCAGGTAGAGTAAGGTGAAAACAATGCGTCTTCCTATAAACGCAGCAGTCTTGCCCACTTAGCACTGCTATGATTTGGGAGTGCAAGAGGTAAGTCCCTGCAGTCTATAACCATAGAATCCTTAACACGCAGGATAATGGGATAGCCTTCCTTCATACAATCCCTAATTGATTAGAGAGTTTTATCCAGTGTTTCCTCACACCAGGACAAGCAGACTGGTTGTAGTATAGCAGTTCATGCAATCCAATAAACAATAAGAATGTGCAATCCAGTGTTTCCTCACACTAGGACAAGCAGACTGGTTGTAGTGTAGCAGTTCATGCAATCCAATAAACAATAAGAATGTATAATTCAGTGTTTCCTCACACTAGGACAAGCAGACTGGTTGTAGTATAGCAGTTCATACAATCCAATAAACGATTAGAGTGTGCAATTCAATATATGACTAGCATCCCGGCTCAAGAACATTAAGTCCATCAAATTAATGGCAAAGCAGACAGGTAGAGACAATACTTGCAGTTAGTAGCTCAGGGAACAGTCCTCACTGTGGAAGTAGCTTTTCCCACATCAACATTAACAAAACGGAAAATAGTAGCACACAGGGACCCCCCACATGGCTCTTGATTTCCCATTAGGAGAGATCCCTTTGCACAGCAGCTGCGGTGGATAGGAAGGAGTATGTCAGTAATCACTGACATGCTAAGGAGCTCAGCAGGGAAGATCCTTTGTAAGCAGGAATTGCTCAGTGTTGTGTTGCAGACAACAGAACACCGAGCAATTCAAACACCATGATTCAATGTGGGTGAGCCAGAAGAGGGAGGAGCAGCATGCCTGGCCTGGATTGGATGGCGAGTCTGTTACAGATGAGCGGTAAAAGCGGTTAAAGCATCGCCTATGGCCAATTTTGGGTGTGGTTGTTTTCTGCGATTTCGCAGGCGTGAGCAATTTTACAGCTTGTTTGGTGTCTATTTACCCAACATGACCCCGTCTTTAATATTTACCAAAAAATTGGGGTGATAATAAATGTTTCATAACATTTCATAGGGAAACTGTTTTTTTTTTTTTAAAAAGTTACATTACTTTTTTGTTATATAGTAAAACATAAAAACCCCAGTGGTGATTAAATACCACCAAAAGAAAGCTCTATCTGTCCCCAAAAAATGGTATAAAATTTGTTTCAGTACAGCGTTGCATGACGGAATAAACGTCAGTTAAAGTACTCCAGCGCTGAATACTGAAAAATGGCCTGGCCAGGAAGGGGGTTTAACACCCTGGTCTTCAAGGGGTTAATGTGCTACCATTTGAAGCTAGTTCCCGGAAAATTGTATACTCACCAATCGGTAATTTTCCTTTCCTGGTGTATCTTCATGGCAGCACACAATGGGTTAAGGATCCACCCCCTTAACCCCATAGGACAAGCCCTCTATAAGTTTTGACCCCTGCTGCTTGGTCCCCACTCTTGTCGAAATCACGAGCCATGTGGGGGGTCCCTGTGTGCTACTATTTTCCGTTTTGTTAATGTTGTATGCTGTTTGAACTTCATACTGTGTAGTCTACTAAATGCCCACTACTGGCACCTGAACCAGAAGGCATTTTCTAGGCTCATTGGGGCAGCATGGTAACCAGCAGTGATAAAATGGCAGTAACGGCAAAACAGCAATATAGAACACCTACACCAGACATACCATAGCAATACAGCCCGCTCTTACATAATGTGAAAAAGCAAATCTAATATTTGAAAAGGCTTGGACATGGATTAGAAAATATTTAGCCTACCTTATACTGCTAAAAATGCTCTACTGGCCTTGTGGAGTGCGAATTTCACCCTGCAGATATTCATACTACTCTCTGAGTAATGACAGCACACCAGAAGGGAGTGTGTGCTTGCCACAGGCCTACAATACAGGTGAAACTTGAATAATTAGAATATCGTGCAAAAGTTCATTTATTTCACTAATGCAACTTAAAAGGTGAAACTAATATATGAGATAGACTCATTACATGCAAAGCAAGATAGTTCAAGCCGTGATTTGTCATGTCAT